TCAAAAGGAAATTGGCAGGAGGCTTCAATATGTGACACCCAGTCAGACGTGCCCTCAACCTAATGACATCGGGCGTAACTTGCATTTAAAGACTCGATGGTTCACGGGATTCTGCAATTCACACCAAGTATCTCATTTCGCTACGTTCTTCATCGATGCAAGAGCCTAGATATCCGTTGCCGAGAGTAATTCTATATAATGTGTCAAAACACAGCCCGCACGGAAACCGTCTCCGGTGCCATTCGGATGCGCTCAGAGCAAAGTTAAAATTCCTTGACGCATTCAGCGCCGAGGTTTGAGTTTTGGGACAGAGGAGAACGCGCTTTTTCGTCCGCCTCCGAAACCAGCGGCAAGCCGGGGTGTGGAACACCTCAAGCCTACCGTATGTGTTCAAACTAATTCACGTGTGTCACACCCTAATTTTGACCATAAAGTCCCACCTCTTTGTGCTTACTTCTTGCTCATTTATCTTATTATACAAGCGTGTGTTACGGCTAACAGATTTGTGCAGATATAGTGATGTCAAGTGTGAATTATTACTGCCAAGCACTTCAAGGTTTAGGTTATCAATGCCATTGGTGTCAAGCGTAAACGTTGGAGGTGTATAGATATGGTTCATAAACTTTGAGCGTGGGTGTCGTCACAATGTTTGGTTTTCCTTGTATGAGTTTGGCCTATAAGGATTAGTTTGTTATGGAAAGTACACTACGCCCCTTTTATGGTAACAAACATCAAGCTTCAAGAGCATCATTTACCACTGTAAATATTTAAAGATACCGTACGCAACCTTAAGGCAAGGATGGATTTACATGTTTGGTAATTTGAGCATGAAGCAAACTAATGACATAATATCATTTAAGAAAGCGTTACAAGCTGAAAACGATAACGAGAGGAGAATTGGATATACAAGCCAAAGAGTTATTGTTCATACAAGTTTTCACTTAATTAAGAGATATCCACAACTACAAGTCGTCAACAAATCCAACATAAAAGAAAAAGGGAACACTTGCAAGTCAAAAGGAAACACGAAAGATATTTGTTAGGGGAGTTTTGAAACTCATTGGAGCTGCATCCATTAAAGTTCTAGTAGAGACTTCTTAGAATAAGTGGTTTATCTGGAACGAGGGAGAAACCCACTGCTGCTATCAGAATTTTATTGCTAAGCCTTTTGATCATCTCTTGGACGAGCCAGCACTAAGCCCGGATACTACAAATGCAACAATTATCGTGCGCACTTTCCGAAACTCTCCAGATACAAGGAACCAGGGCCTGCACAAATTCAACTCCTTATAATACCTCCAGCCTTCGACCGTCTCGGTACGAGCATCAACCGTGAGCTGGTTGCAGACCACACAAAGTTCTTGCGCTAACGCTTTGATTCGTCAAGACACCAACCTTTGGATATTATTTTCACCTGATCACATTCAAGTATTGATTCTGTTAGGGTATGGCAGATTTGTTTTAGCTAAAATTCAGCAATCATCATCCAAAATCACGGGCACTTTGTAAACTTTTGAATGTCTGAGCTTGTTCAACTACGAAGAACTAGATACCTCAGTAGTTTAATAACGGATTGTGCAGTTTGCTTTGAGGCGCGCCAAGAAAGGTCTCCATTGATGCGCAACTACCAGCTCACCAGCTTCAGACTGAAAGGCAAGTTATCCTGGCAATAAGGCATCCTGAAACAAATTCCCCTCGTGCCATTACTTCTCAATTCACGAGTGAAAGCAATAATCAGTGACTAATGATCTGAAACCAATAGAAAATACCTGGGCACATCAGTAATTGTAATCAAGAGCAGTAACCTCACGCCAGCAGCATCACACCCACTGCAACAAAGCTATTGTCATTAGTAGAGAATTGAGCAGTTCAGCTCAATAGCAGATCATGCAGCCACAACCAATGCCAAACCTGCAAAACAAGAGCAGGCATGGAAGACTTGAAGTTTGTAAGAATACAATCAAACATCCCAAAGACCTAGCTATTAAAGGATTGATGCAACTTGAGTCGTAGGCAGAGCATGAAACCTCATGGAAATTCTTTTAACTATGATAGAAGAGGTTACCCGTCAGCTGGAGGCTACGCGAAGCTGATTGTTTCATTTGGAAGCCTATCATGGAAGTTGTCCTCGTCTTACCCTCGTATTTTCTCCTCAGACTACAAGCTCTGTTATCACCATTATGATACACCCCCCCTGTGCCAAGAGATTAAAGCTTATAGTTCTGACTGCAATATGCCAATGAAGCCAACACCTGCGAGATGGCAACAGAACTGCGAGTATGCTACAACACTATGTTTTCAACAAGATGTTAGAAAGGGATTAGGATACCTCTGAGAACCTGACGCGTGTGAGAGCTCTCAAGCATTACCCCCACTAGTAACAGGATTGTAATACTATTGTTGGAATATTGGTAGCAGAAATGTTCAAAACTTGAATTAAGGTAGCCCCATACGGGTAACTTTCCCAGGAGAGGTTCGATGCTCCATATGCCCTGAAACT